GGGCAAGCGGAGCCGGGGCTGCGGCAGGCGCTTGGGGCTAGTCCCGGGGGGGCGTGGAGGGGGCCGGGCTGAGCTGGAGCCGCCATCCCGCTCTGGGGCCGCGGGCCCTGGCTGGGTGCCCGGTCACCCCCTGCTGTGTGCGGGGCAGGGGGCTGCGGAGCCCCCGGGGACGCGGGGCTGACCCTGCCTGCTATCCCTGCCGCTGTCCCGGGCACCCGGGGGGTTCAGCATCCCGCTGCCGGGCTTGGCATGGCCTCCAGCTTCCCCTTCTCCTGCCCCGGGGGGCAGCGAGCTGTGCCCCGCCGTGAGCCCCGGGGAGAGCGTGAGCTGCCCAGGCCAGCCCTCTTCCACTGGGGTCCTCTCCCTCCCCACCCCCCGGGGGTCTCAGGGCTGCTCCAGACCCTTGCACGCCCCCCCGGAGCACCACAGCAGAGATCTGCCCGCAGGCAGGGCGTTCGTCTCCCTTCCACGTCGCCAGGCTGGGTCTGGCAGCCTTTTCCTGGCAGCCGCTGGGCTCCACGTGGGCTCTTCCCATTGCTGTTCCGTTTCCGTAGGGAAAAATAGCTGGAGCCCCCCTTGCTCATCGAGGCGCTGGCAGGGGGGCTCCCAACTTTTCTGCCCCACATATGGGGCTGGGGAGGCTTTGTCCCCACTGTCACCATCCCCTTTCCAGGGCTCTACGGAAGAGATGGCATCCTGCCGGCCCGCAAAGTGCTACGCCTCAGCGGGAAGGGGCTGTGGGAACAACTACGGGATTTTCCCACCCTCTTGTGGCTCAGTCCCCGTTTGGGTTTGGATACGGAGCTGGGGATGGAGCTGATCTGCCTCCTCGGTGTGCTCGCCTCCTTCGGCGCCTTGGTGTTCGAGCCCCTGCGGGACAGCCTGCTGTTCGCCCTGCTCAGGGTGCTCTATCTCTCGCTTTACCAGGTATGGGATCGGTGGGACGGCTCACCTGTAGGGGTTGGAGCTGAGACTGAGGCAGGGGAGGGATGATATCTTTCTGTTAATATCATCCTGCAAGCTCCTGGTACGCTCAGCTTCCCTCATGGAGCTTGGGGGAGTTGCTGGCAGCTCCCTGGTTCACATGGGAACATCCTGCCCTGTCTCTGCTCTGGTTCTGGGTGCCTTCCCTGGGATAAAACCCTCCCAGGCTTGCCTGTGAAGCCAATTCCCGCACTGCCGTGGGGGCAACTCTGTCCCCTGCCCACGCATGGCCTCCCCGAGCCCTCCCTGGGCCCTTTCCCCATGTCCCTGCCTGGCTGCAGGAGAGCTCTCTGCCCCCCCAGCCGCAGATCCGCCCTCCCGAGCCGTTTGTGCTTGCTGTCGGGGCTGGCGGCTTCGTGCGGAGGAGCTCGGGTGAGTCAGAGTCCGCTAGCGCTGGCAGTGGGGGGAGGAGGGTTTCTCTTCCCTTTGAAACCAGGGGAATTAAAGAGGAAAAAACCGCCTGTGCTTGGAAATCCCTCCCGGGCTGGGTGGCTGTCGCCCCGCGGGGGAGCTCTCCTGCCCTGCCGGAAGGCAGCCGGGGCAGCTGGCGGTGCTGAGAGCCCTCACCGGGGCTCCGGCCGCGTCCAGCACCGGTGGCTGCAGGGAATGGCGTTGGGAGGCCAGGAAAGCGAGGCGCCAGCCACAGGAGCAGGGTTTTCTCCGTGCTGGGGGGCTGCCCTGCAGCACTGTTATCCCGTCCCCTCCGAAGGGCTCGGGGCCTCCCCGGCAGACGGCTGTGCCCTGTGGGGAGCGTCTCTGCTCACACGGGCAGCGCTGCCAAGCTGCGCGGCCCGTGATTCGGGCCTGAGGGGAGGCAGGGCGGGAGCCGGGGCTCCCGAGTGACTCCTTGCCTTGGCAGGGGGAGGAAGCGGCACCCGTGGCTGTGCAGGGCCGGGAAGCGCCGGGTGACTCCCGTCCGTGGGGACTCTGTCTCCCGGCGTGACTGTGAGGGTGCCGTGCCACAGCATGGCGTGCACGGTTCCTGACCCCGTGTGCCGGCCAGGCCTTCCTCCTTCCTCTCCTCGCTCCCTTTTAAGGTGATGCTGGAGAGAAAGTCCCTGCCCCTCCCCGGTGCCAGCCTCCCTTCCCACCACCCCTTTGCACCCGCCGGGTCTGCAGCCTGCTCCGCTGCCGAGCGTGGCTCCGGGCCTGGCTGCGGGCAGGAGGGGCAGCGCCCCAGGGCTGGGAGCACCCGGGCAGCACAGAGGTACCTGGCACTACCGCTCTCGGCAGCGAGTTGAGGCCGCTGCTCTGCTCTTTGGCTTTGGCCAGTGGTGGGAAAGGAGCCGGGAGGGATCTGTGGCCGCCCCTCAGCCCTTCTACCCCCTCTCTGTGGGGTGGGGGGGCCAAACCTGCGCCTCTGGCCCACCCTGCTCACCACTCTGCTCCCTCTCTCCGCAGGTGGGGCAGGTCTTCCTCTATTTCCAGTGGTAAGTCAGCCCCTCCTCGGCCCTTCCAGCAAGCCCCAGGGCGGGGAGGGTTGTGACCCTGCGGGCAGCGGTGACCCGGCTCACCGCGGCAAGCCGGCCAGCCGCTCAGCACCCCGGGATTTCTGTGCCAGCCCAGCGGGGCAGAGCTGGGGTCTGCGGCCCCGGGGCAGTGGTGGGTGACAGTGGCCTTCCCCACAGGGACAGCCTCCTGCTGGAAGCGGGTTTCCTGGCGGTGCTGGTGGCCCCCCTGCGCCTGCTGAAGTGGCGGTCCACGGCCTGGCGCGCCCACGACGGCGTCACCTTCTGGCTGGTGCGCTGGCTCCTCTTCCGGCTGATGTTCGCCTCCGGCGTGGTGAAGCTGACCAGCCGCTGCCCCACCTGGTGGGGGCTCACAGGTGAGGGGTGCTGCAGGGTGTCACGGGCTTTGGGGCACCCTGGGGAGGCGGGGGCATTGCCCCAAGCTTCAGGCTGTGCCTCCTGTGCCCCGTAGGAAGCTGCGGGGCTCCAGGCAGCTGCTGCCAGCACCTCTCCCATGTCGGGCACAGCTCCGCCTGCTCCAAGCTGTCTCCCCGTGCCCCCCTCTGCACCCCTGACCCCTCCTGTCCTCCCAGCTCTCACCTATCACTACGAGACCCAGTGCATCCCCACGCCAGGTGCCTGGTTCGCCCACCAGCTCCCCGTCTGGTTCCAGAAGTTCAGCGTGGTGGCCACCTACGTCATCGAGATCGCCATCCCGCTCCTCTTCTTTGCGCCCATCCGCCGTCTCCGACTCTTCGCCTTCTACAGCCAGGTGGGTGGGCAGAGCCGGCTCCCCGCTCCTGCGCCTCCTGCCGCCCGGAGCCGGGGGCTCCCCAGGGGCCGTCCGCAGGTAGGGGGGCTGCAGGCAGGACAGGATCCTCGCTCTGTGGGTCCTTGCGGGCAGAGCTGCCCCGGGTGCTGGGAGTTGAGGCGGCTGTGCTGCTGGTGGTGGGGTGCCCGATGCCCTCTGCCCCCCAGCACTGCCTTCGCTCCTCCCCAGGTCCTGCTGCAGGTCCTCATCATCCTCACGGGTAACTACAACTTCTTCAACATGCTCACCATCGTCCTGGCCTTCTCCCTGCTGGATGAGGAGCACGTGGGGCGCTGGCTGGGGCGCAGCAAGAGGAGGCACGCCAGCAGTGAGTCCCTGGGTGCCCTGTTTGGGGAGGTGGGGGTCCCCTCTCTGCCACGCCTGGGGTGGGGAAGGAACAGGCCACCATCACAGGCCAGCCCTGTCTGGGTGTGACAGCAAGAGGCTGTTACGGCTGCCCACGGCTGCCCTCCGGCTTGGTGTGGTGAGAGCTGCTGCCAGCATGGTCGTCTCGCCCGCTCCTGGGGCGGGGGTCTGTGCCTGTGGGGCGCTCGAGCCAGGGCCACCATGAAGCCGCGGGTTGGCTGCTGGTGCAGGGATGTGCTCTGAGCGCTGCCCGCTTGCCCTCTCCCTGCCTGGGCTCTCGGGGCACGGTTCGCACCCCTCCGTGCAGCGGTGGGTCGGGCTTGCCGAGCCGCCAGCATTCAGCGGCCCCACTCTGCCGCAGCCTGGCCCCCCAGCCTGCGGGCCGTCCTCTCCACCCTGCTGGAGCTGAGTGCCTATGGCTTCCTGCTCTACTGGAGCATCCAGCGCTTCGGCCTGGAGATCAACTGGGAGAAGAGGCTGCTGGACTCTAAAGTGGGTACGTCACGGGGGCTGTCTGCCCATTGTCCCCACGGCAGAGCGGCAGCGCCTGGGCCCCTGCACCCCCTGTGACTCCCGACGCAGGAGAGGGTCCTCCCTGACCCCGTGGCTTTTCCTTTGCTCCAGCCTTCACCTATCACGAGTTCACGACGTGGCTGCGGGCGGTGACCCTGCCGTTGGTGGGGCTGGGCTTCCTCTCGCTCTCCTGGGAGATCCTCTCTGCCATGTACAGGTGGGTGACGGGGGGCGCCGGGGTCCCCCCGGGCCTCGCAGCTCTGCAGTAAGAGCTGAGCAGGAACGGGGTGGCCGGTGCCACCCCTGAGGGGGCCACTCCCGCGCGGAGGGACGCTCGGATCTCCCAGGCGCTGGTGCGAGGTGCTTGGAGCCAGGTGGAGGGCTGGACCCTGGGGCTGTGTGGGGTGGGGGCCTGGCTCAGGGGGAGTTAGGAGAGATTTCCCTCTGCAGCGTCAGAGCGGGGCTGACCCCTCCACCGCTTCGGGCACAGCATGGGCAGCTCTGAGCCCCGCAGCTCGCAGCCGGAGCCCTGGGCTGTGGGGCTGCGCGGCTCTGACCCATCTCCTCCCCCCATAGGTGTGCCTGCGTCCGCGGCTGCTTCTGGAAGCTCTGGGCCACGCTGCAGTGGGCCGTCTTCGCCACGGCAACCATGGGGATGTTCGCCATCAGCTTGGTGAGCGGGTGGGAAGCGCCTGGGGAGGGCAGGGGACAGCGGAGCATACGTTTGTCTTGGGGTACGGGGAGCGGGAGACTCGGCCTGGGCCCCCCAAGCTGCTCCTAGCCGTGGTGATGGAGCCTCTCTCTGCCGCTCCCCAGGTGCCCTTCACCTACATCGACTACGAGTCCAACGGCAAGCTGTGGCCCGGCATCCACCAGATGTTCAATGCAGTCGAACGCTTCCAGCTGGTGAACTCCTACGGGCTCTTCCGCAGGATGACGGGCGTCGGGGGGCGGCCCGAGGTGGTGCTGGAGGGCAGCTATGACAAGCAGACGTGGACGGTGAGCTGCCGTTTTGTAGAGTCGCAGAGTCATTTAGGTTGGAAAAGACCCTTAGGATCATCGAGTCCAACCGTTAACCCAGCACTGCCAAGGCCATCACTAAACCATGTCCCCAAGCACCACATCTCCCCGGCTTTGAAATACCCCCAGGGATGGGGACTCAGCCCCTGCCCTGGGCAGCCTGGGCCAGGGCCTGACAGCCCTTTCAGGGAAGAAGTTTTTCCCAATATCCAACCCAAACCTGCCCTGGCGCAGCTTGAGGCCGTTCCCTCTCGTCCCATCGCTTGTTCCTGGGGAGAAGAGACCGACCCCCCCGGCTCCAGCCTCCTTTCAGGCAG